CATGATCCCAGGGTCCTGGGATCGAGTCCCACATCGGGCTCCCTGCTCAGCGGGAAGCCTGCTTCTCCCTCTCCCACTCCCCCTGCTTGTGTTTCTGCTCTCTCTGTGTCTCTCTGTCAAATAAATAAATAAAATCTTTAAAAAAAAAAACAAAGACTGTTGTCCATTCAAAGACAGTGACTGTTATAATCTTTTTTTTTTTTTTCCCTCTAGGATCCAGAACAGTTTGAGCATATGAGAGATGGGATATTAGGATACAATTTTTCAAACTGTGGGTGACGGTTTATTAATGGGACATAAAATCAATTTAGTAGATCAAGACCAACGTTTTTTCCTAAAATAAAAATAGAAGAGAAAATATCAGAGTACTTCTCATGTACTAAGGATAAGTTTGTTCATGAAACTTTATTTCTTTCCATAATTATAAATAGAAGTATGTTTTATATGTGTGCATATTTATGTTTATGTGTCTTGAATCATGATGTAAAATGCTTTCGGAACTATGAATTACATTTTCTAAAAAGTTGAAAAGCTACCTCATTTTAGAATATAGATTTGGCTTCTGTAATAGGGTCTCTAAAATAACAAGAGCTTAAAATTACAGATGTTTATACCCATCTTCATAGCAACTTCCATCAGTGGAAGAATGGATAAACAAAATATGGAATACAGTGGAATATTATTCAGCCTTAAACAAGAAGTAAATTCTGACACAGGCTCTAACATGGATGAACCTTGAGGACATTATGTTAAGTTAAATAATACAGTCACAAAAAGACATATACTGTATAATTCCATTTATATGAGATTTCTAGAGTAGACAAATTCATAGAAACAGAAAGTAGAATGTTAGTTTCCAAGGGCTTGGGGTAGGAGAAAATGAGAAGTTATGGTTTAAAGGATGTACAGTTTCAGTTTTTCAAGATAAAAAGTTCTGGAGATTGGTTGCACAATGTGAATATATATATAACATCATTAAACTGTATGCTTAAATATGGTTAACACGGTAAATTTTGTGTCACGTATGTTTTACCACAATTTTAAAAATGTTTTAAATGGCCAGTAAAAAAAAAATTCTCCTCTATTTCTCTCTAAAGTTAAGAAACCTAAGCTGGACTCTGCAGAGCCCTTTGGGTTCTAAGCTCCTTCCAATATGTTGCTCTGTTGTATCTAGAATGATGCCTTTGTTTGCAAGCTCAAAGATGGCTCACCTCAAGGGCTGCCTTTCCACGAGTAGGAAGGGAAGAAGAAAGAAACGCACACCCTTCCTTTAAGAACATGTTTTAAGTATTAAACATCCCTTCTACAGATATTCTGTTGACCAGAACTTAGTCACATGGTCATACTTAGTCACAAGGGAATCTGGGAAATGTAATCTGTAGCTGGGCAACCGGGTATACAGCTAAAATCTCTATTATTGTAGAACAAAAGAGGAAAAGAGGTATATTGGGGCACAATTAGAAATTTCTTTGATTTGTTGGGTGCTCACCTAAATCAGTTCATGTAAATCTCAAGACATAAGAGGAATGTAGATTATCCTCACTAATAAGAGAAAACTGAGGCTCAAAGAGTTTAAGTAACTTTCAGGAGTAATGTTTCAGAGCAAGAGTTTGCAACCAGATATGTCTAAAACTCAGGTCCACTTTTCACTCTGAAATACCTCCTGAGAAACCAGTCTATAGTGCCTGCTGTAGGTTTAGCCTTTTTTTTTTTTCTGCCACTTTGATCCTGATTATTCCATTCTTCAGCTTAATCAGGCTTAAGGAAAGTTGTGGAATAATAGAATAATAGAACCTTCTTTTCCAGAAAAAGTCCACGCTGAGATCGACAGGGTGATTGGCCAGTCACAGCTGCCAAGTATAGCCGCTCGAGAGTCCATGCCCTATACCAAAGCCGTCATTCATGAGGTGCAGAGAATGGGAAACATCATCCCCCTGAACGTGCCCAGGGAAGTGACAGGTGATACCACGCTTGCTGGATACTACCTGCCTAAGGTAACCAGGGACTCCCAGCCTCAGATCTTCAAGCCCATCTTTTTAGATAGTAGAAACTCTGAACTGAAAGGGTGACCCATAACTCTTGTCCTAGGGAATCACTTAAATGGGAAGAGAGATATGTTACACCTGAGATAATATTAGCTTTTTTCCCTATTTGTGGTCTTTGGAACATTAATTCAACTAGACATTAATAGGTATTATGGAGGGGAAGGAGGATTCCTTGGTCAAATATGTTTAGGCAAAGACTGGCTTTTCTTTGCTGTGGGATGTCTCAGTTTTTTTTTTTTTAACCGTGTGATGTACATTATGGATCTTTGTGGGGATACAGCAAGCAGCTGTTCGCAGTCAGACTTTGCCACAGGGCCCTTTACTTTGCCAGGGTGGAGCTTCTCACAGCACTAGGGACCTGCCAGACCTGGAAAATTCTGCTTCATAATCATGGGGTTATAGAGTATTAAAATATGAAGGAACATTTGAGACTACCTAGGCCAATATCACATTAAGGCTGGTGTTTCTAGCATGCTATTCCCCACAAGTATTTTTCCAGCTTTTACCTACAACCCTGTAGTGGGACTATCGCACAAGGGAAACCAACAGGTGTGTGCAATATTAATTATTTGAAAATGAGAGAAGGGAACCAATGCTTATTAAGCAAGGAGTGTGTGCCATGGACTCCATAGGTTCTTTCAAAAGGTCTGAATCAGTCCTGAGAATAAATGTTATTTCCATTTCATAAATTTGGAAGTCGAGGCTCAGGAGTGATTAAGCTTGCGTAAGATAGCTCAGCTACAAAGTGACAAGAGTTGAGTTCCAGAAGCAGATCTATTTTGTTTCCCGGGCTCATCTTTTCTGTACTGCACCATGTTCTCTCCACAGGAGTTGCTTTACTGGCACGTTAAAAGAGTCTCTCTGCAATTGTTTTCAGTTGGTCTCTCAGGTTAAATTCCTGTCCTCACAAAGGAAATTCTTTTTTTTTAAATTACTTATTTAAATTCAATTAAGTTAAAATATACTGTAGTAGTAGTTCCAGGGGTAGAATTTAGTGACTCATCAGTTGCATATAACACCCAATGCTCATTACACATCAAGTGCCCTCCTTAATGTCCATCACCCAATTACCCCATCCCCCCACCCACCACCCCTCCAGCAGCCCTGTTTATTTCCTAGAGTTTACCATCTCTTATGGTTTGCCTCCCTCTTTATTTTCATCTTATTTTATTTTTCCTTACCTTCCCCTATGTTCATCAGTTTTGCTTCTTGAATTCCACATGAGTGAAATCATATGATATTTGTCTTTCTCTGACTGACTTATTTCACTTAGCATAATACCCTCTAGTTCCATCCACATTGTTGCAAATGGCAAGATGTTATTCTTTTTGATGACTGAGTAATATTCTGTTGTTTATATATACCACATCTTATCCATTCGTCTGGTGATCAACATCTGGGTTCTTTCCATATTTTGGCTATTGTGGACATTGCTGCTATAAACATTGGGGTGCATGTGCCCCTTCAAATCACTAGGTTTGTATCGTTTGTATAAATATCAAGCAGTACAATTGCTGGGTCATAGGGTAGCTCTATTTTCAACTTTTTAAGGAATTTCCATACTGTTTTCCAGAGTGGTTGCATCAGCTTGCACTCCCACGAACAGTGTAAGAGGGTTCTCCTTTCTCCGCATCCTCACGAACATCTGTTGTTTCCTGAGTTGTTCATTTTAGCCATTCTGACTGGTGTGAGGTGGTATCTCATTGTGGTTTTGATCTGTATTTCCCTGATGCTTAGTGATGTTAAGCATTTTTACATGTGTCTGTTGGCCAATTGTATGTCTTCTTTGGAGAAATGTCTGTTCATGTCTTCTGCCCATCTCTTGATTGGATTATTTGTTCTTTGGCTGTTGAGTTTGATAAGTTCTTTATAGATTTTGGGTAAATCTTTATCTGATAAGACATTTGCGAGTATCTTCTCCCATTCTGTAGGTTGCCATTTAGTTTTGTTGACTGTTTCCTTTGTTGCACAAAGTTTTTATCTTGATAAAGTCCCCATAGTTCATTTTTGCTTTTGTTTCCCTTGCCTTGCTGCCTCTGAGGTCAAAGAGGTTGCTACCTATGTTCTCCTCTAGGACTTTCATGGATTTGTGTCTCACATTTAGGTCTTTCATCCATTTTGAGTTTATCTTTGTGTATGGTGTAAGAAAATGATCCAGTGTCATTCTTCTGCATGTGGCTGTCCAATTTTCCCAGCACATTTATTGAAGAGACTGTCCTTTTTCCATTGAACATTCTTTCCTGCTTTGTCAAAGCTTGGTTGACCACAGAGTTGAGGGTCCATTTCTGGGTTCTCTATTCTGTTCCATTGATCTATGTGTCTGTTTTTGTGCCAGTACCATACTGTCTTGATGATTACAGCTTTGTAATAGAGCTGGAAGTCTGGCATTGTGATGCCCCCAGGTTTGGTTTTCTTTTCAACATTCCTCTGGCTATTCGGGGTTTTTTCTGGTTCCATACAAATTTTAGGATTGTTTGTTCCAGCCCTGTGAAAAATGCTGATGGCATTTTGATAGGTATTGCATTGAATGTGTAGATTGCTCTAGGTAGCATAGACATTTTAACAATATTTGTTCTTCTAATCCATGAGCATGGAATGTTTTTCCATTTCTTTGTGTCTTCCTCAATTTCTTTCATGAGTGTTCTACAGTTTTCAGAGTACAGATCCTTTACCTCTTTGGTAAGGTTTATTCCTAGGGAAGTTATGGGTTTTGGTGCAATTGTAAATGGGATCGAATCCTTGATTTCTCTTTCTTCTGCCTCATTGTTAGTGTATAGAAAGGCAACTGACTTCTGTGCATTGATTTTATATCCTATGACTTTGCTGAATTCCTATATCAGTTCTAGCAATTTTGGGGTAGAGTTGTTTGGGTTTTCTACATAAAGTTACATGTCATCTGTGAAGAGTGAAAGTTTGACTTATTCTTTGCCGATTTGGATGCCTTTTATTTTTTTTTTTAAGATTTTATTTATTTATTTGACAAAGAGAGACACAGCGAGAGAGGGAACACAAGCAGGAGCAGTGGGAGAGGGAGAAGCAGGCTTCCCGCTGAGCAGGGAGCCCGATGCGGGGCTTGATCCCAGGACCCTGGGATCATGACCCGAGCCAAAAGCAGACGCTTAACGACTGAGCCATCCAGGCACCCTGCCTTTTATTTCTTTTTGTTGTCTGATTGCTGAGGGTAGGACTTCCAGTACTATGTTGAACAGTAGTAGTGAGAGTGGACATCCCTGTCGTGTTCCTGATCTTAGAGGAAAGCTCTCAGTTTTTCCCCCTTGAGGATGTTTGCTGTGGGTTTTTCGTATATGGCTTTTATGCTATTAAGGTATGTTCCCTCTATCCCTACATGGCAGAGAGTTTTTATCAAGAAAGGACGCTGTATTTTGTCAAATGTCTTTTTCTGCATCTATTGAGAGGATCATGTGGCTGTTGTCCTTTCTTTTATTAATGTGGTGTATCACACTGATTGATTGATTTGCAGATGTTGAACCCCCCCTTGCAGCCCAGGAATAAATCCAACTTGGTCGTGGTGAATAATCCTTTTAATGTACTGTTGGATCCTATTACTAGTATCTTGGTGAGAATTTTTGCATCCATGTTCATCAGGGATATTGGTCTGTAATTCTCCTTTTTATTGTGGTCTTTATCTGGTTTTGGGATCAAGGTAATCCTGGCTTCATAGAATGAGTTAAAAAACTTTCTATTTTTTGAAAAAGTTTCAGAAGAATGGGTATTAATTCTTCTTTAAATGTTTGGTAGAATTCTGCTGGGAGACCATTCGGTCCTTGACTCTTTGTTGGGAGATTTTTGATTACTGATTCAGTTTCCTCACAAAGGAAATTTTGTTCTCAAGAGGCCCACCAGTGTTAAGATCTCGGCAGACAGCTCTCCTCTGCCCCCTAGGGTCCTCTCTGCACATTGCACATTTACAGTTCCTTTTCTTTTTCAAGGCCTTGGTCAGCCTCTGTGGATCAATTACAATTTGTCTAGGTCCCTCTGTGTGTGTCTTACTTGGAGTCTCTCTCAACAGGCAGAACCGGAGGGGTTTACCCATTCTATACCTATTCCTACAGCTGTTCCCATTCACTGTTTTCTTACTGATTGACATCTTGCGGGTGGAGGCTGAGGTCTAAATTATTTCACAGGGGCTGTTTGCACTTTTCCAGCAATTCATTTAGCTCAACAGACTCATTCTACCACTGATTTTTACTATTAACTTTAATAAAGACCCTGGGAACTGAGATATCTAATTGACTGTATCTTGTAGAGGCAAGGAGCCACGGCTCTGAAATGAACTAGACCTTGTACTAATCATTACTCTATCTCCTCCCACTGCACGACTCTGGGCATATCACTTAATGTCTCAGAGCTTTGATTTATTTATCTGTAAACTTCTTCACAGGTGGAGATAAAATGAGATCATTCATGTAGTGTTTAGTATAGAAAGTGCTCAAAATAGCAGTTCCTTATTAATTTAATAAATGTCCAGTAAGCATATAAAATGCCCCCATCTGGGAAAACAACTCTGAATAAAATAATCATGCAAGTATATCGTCACAAACCATGACAAAGGCTCAGCTGGGAGAACTCGCTGGTTTCCATAAAGATATAGGCCAGCTGGAATGGGGAGGAGGAGCAGGAGTGGTCGGAGAGGGCTTCCAGAGGGAAGTGTTGTTTGAGCTAAGGATTGAAGGGTGATGGAGAATTAGCTCCGTGACAGAGTAGAGAAGAAGGGCATTCCAGGCAAGGTGAACGGCTTGTAAAAAGGCCTGGCAATGAGCGGGAACATAGCATTTTTGAGAAGCTGAAAGTAGGCCTCTGTAGTGTGAGTACAGGCAGAAGGAGAGTGGTCTAGATGGGGTTTCAGGGGATGGGTCTGTCCCCTAAAGGTGGTGGGAAGCTATTGAAAGTTCAGTATTCAACGAGTTGGGGGGGTGGATGGGTGTGGCATCAGTAAATCATGTTCAAACCTCACCCTGCTTTTGAAGTGTGGAGCAGATTGAAAGGCGAGAGGCTGTGGGCACAGTTGGCAGCTCTTGCAGGAGGATAGGCAAGGCAGCAGGTAGTCTGGACCAAGAGGCAGGGGTGGACGTAGAATGGAGGTGACAGAATCAAGAGACATTTAAAGAAAAATTAAGCAGCCTCACTGAAGGATTGGATGAAGGCAGAAAGAGGGAAAGGGAGACAATATGGGGGACTGCTGGGTTTCTTTCTACACACCTAGATGGATAGTGGTTCCTTTCACTGAGGTACCTGATTCTATTATTCAACCTCCTGGGGAGTATACCAGACACTGGAGGGAAGAGAATGGGAGAGGAAGAGAGGAATGAGAGATCTTTTACCCTGGGCACAGCTGCCAGAGTTATCACTTCGCGGAGCAGCTGGGTGGGTTTTGGTACAACGGTACTGACTAGCCAGCTGTCGTGTTATTCTCTCCTTCATGTAGATATGTCCCTGTGGAGAGATCCATTCTGCAGTCAACGGAAGCTACACTTCCCTGGTCAAATCCCTGCAAGCCCGTCATTTTAAGCTGTCCCATCACAAAGAGCAGGGGCCTGGGTGGGTGGGTAGGGGATTGGGCTATAAGGAGACAGTGAGTTGGGGTGGGGTGTGGTCAGGCACTGGCCTAGGAGTCAGGGAACCGCTACTCTTCTGAGTAGGTGTGTTGTGTGGGTCAAGCCTTGCCTGAGTCTTTGCTGCCTTCTCTAGGGGACCATGATCCTGACCAATCTGACTGCACTGCACAGGGACCCCGCAGAATGGGCCACCCCCGACATGTTCAATCCGGAGCATTTCCTGGAGAATGGACAGTTCAAGAAAAAGGAAACCTTTCTGCCTTTCTCAGTAGGTGAGTTCTAACTAATAGGAGTGTCAGAATCCAGAGTCCCTCCCCCTGGTCTTCTCCCTGCTACACATGATAACACAGAGCCCACACTGTGGAACACATGATAGTCTGCTTATCATTAACTTAAAAGTAAATATAGTTTGGTTGTCTGATCCACTATCATTTTGCCGATGACTCAGGCTCAGAAGGGGAGGAACTGGAATTTGATGACCTGAAGCCCAAGGAGCACACCCGCCCTGAGTGTATCTGGGCTGATTCTGATTAGATCTTCTTTGTTTTACCTTCACTTCATTCTATGTCATCATTGTTCATATTGGACAAGTCCCTTCATAATAGGAAAGCTGCTATGAGATGTAGGAATACCTTCCAGTCTTCTGTCTGCAGTAGCTTCAAGTTTTGTATTTCAGTACCAAGTCCCAGCCATATATTTCAAGGATTGTAATTATTCTTGCCTCATTGGTGCTTTGCTATTGAGAATTTTATCATACCCTCTTAATTACAGACTTCATTTGCAAGCTCATTATCTCATTTAATCTTTGCAGCAACCCAGTTATTAATAATTAGACAGGAAAGTGATCAGTATTTCCATTCTTAATATAAGGAAACTAAGAATAAGAGAGTTGTTTCTTACCCAAGATCCTGCGCTCAAGGAATTGGCAGAACAGAGCCTAAGACTCAAGGCTTTATACTTCTAGTCCACTGCTCTCTTTACCACAACCAGAATGTAACTCATCTTCCCACTTAAAGGCCCTTCCACTTTGATTCAGAATTTGTTCCATAGGCATCAGTTAGCATATGCATGCATAACAGGCAGTCCACAAACTCAGTGGCGTAAAGCACTATCATTGCTTACAAGTCTATAGTTCAGCTACAGGTAGCTCTGCTGGTCTTAGCTGGGCTTGTTTATGTGTTTGGGAGGTCAGCTGGTTGAAAAGCTGATCTAGGATGACCCAGCTGGAACAACAAAGCTTTCCACGTTCTCTCTCATCCTCTAGCAAACCAGTCCGGTTTGTTTACATGTTGGTGTTAAGATCCCAAGAGACAGAATGGAAACACACAATGTCTCTTAAGGCTCAGGCTGCAAACTGACATTCTGTCACTTCCACTGCATTCTGTTGGCCAGTGCAAGTCATAAGGTCAGACCCAATTAAGGGAGGGGAAAATACTATAATTTTTGGTGGGAAAGGGTATGAAGTCACATTGCAAATGATGTGCGCATGAGGAGAAGAGGGAAAATGGAGTTGTTTTTGCAGTCTTATCTCTGTGATTGAGAAGAATGAAATTCAAAGAAGGCAAACAGTTTGGGGATTCCCACAGGAGGTGTGACAGAATGAGGATTAAACAGAAGAAATAGAAATCTAAAAAATCCAATGAGTTAAGACAATGTCAACACACTGTTTTTTTCCCACCCCACTCCCATCTCTGGAACACAGTTGCTTTTCCTTGTTCTTGGTCTAGCACCTTCTGAAGACAGCCTCCCTGAAAGAATGAGATATGGACGGCTCCTTCTCTTTTCTTGGGAAAAGATGACCATGTGTGAAATCACTACTTCTGCATAGCCAGGGCATATTGTGAAGCTATTGTTGCAAATTTATATTTTCATTTCCTCACTGAAGTCCTTCCAGGTTGACCTGATATAGCAGCAGGCAGCTTTATGAAAGGCAAGAGTTTGGTTCCTTATTTTTCAAATAAAATCATTTGGTCATAGAGGATGAGGTTAGGAAGAACTTTTCCCAAAACACCTAGGTCATTTCTCTCATTTTACCAATGAAGAATTGACCTTGTTAGATGGTGATAGCCAGGTGGTGGGAGTACCAAGAAGATACCAGTTTCCTGTGATCCAGGTGGAAGCTTAGAAAGCAAGTAGTCCTCATTTTCATGCTTTGAAAAGTAAATTCCTACTTGTCATCTTCTTGGTATCATTACCCAGCCGGCCACATGAATCAGTTCGAAGAGAGATTATTTCATGGATTTGACAGGTGGGAAAAATTTAGCTCTGTAAGATGAAGTTGCTCACTACCCACAGCTGGTTACTGATGGAACCAGTACTTTAACCCTGGTTCCTGACTCTCTGGGTCCAGTTTTGTCATCATACATGGATTCTTCTAGGAGAATCTTAGTATTTACAGGACAGCCAACTAGGTACCATTTTAACAAATTTCCTCATCGTGCTATATGTGATGGGTAAAGAGATAAAGACGGAGGGAACGGAGATGAATGAGACACATGCTGGTAGGAAACACAGGCCCCCCAAAAAGTAATAGCAGCATAATTGTGCAGCACGTTTACTATAAACACTTCTGCAGGTGTTACCTAATTTTACTTCCTCAACAGCCCCTTATAGGCAAAGGACAAAATGGAGGCATGCATACATTAATGAGTTTTCAAGAGTATTTAATTACAAGGGAAAATACAAAGTAACACATGCAGCACACAGAATTAACTACAGAGAATTATACCAGTTACAGTGTCCAGGGGAATCCCCACAAGGACAGTGAGGAAATATGTCAGAATGTTAACAAGGGCTCTTGTCTGGAATTACAACCATCTTTTACATTTTTTATTGTCTTCTTTATACTTGTCTTTTTCACGCATTTTTTTAAAAAAAATGTCTGCCGGTGAATACGTATTACTTAAGGAGAAAGTAAGTTATCACAAACACACACACACAAAAGAGATGGTGGTAGTGAAACTGTGGGAGGTTGTTGCAAGGGAGGGGATAACAGTAGCCTAGAGCAGGTGTCAGAGCACAAGTGAGATGAGGTGGGGTCTGCACAGGTCGGCTGTGGCAGCGATGAGGGAGAAGTTATATACAAGGGATATTGATCCAGTAAGTACACCCACTGACAATATGGGAGGAAGTTACCAATAGGGAAAGAGAGAAGATAAAATGAACTCTGTGGTGTTGAATTGGAATCAGAGGTTATCAATATGAACTCAGATTTCTGATAGGTAGGTAGGTATAGAAATAAATATAGACGTAAACATGGATGCATATATATCATTTAAATATATTCTCACATTATATACATACAGATTCCCCAGCTCTAGCCACTGATTCACTGACAGCAACACTACCCTGATATCAACAAGCATGTCAAATGCCCAGATCTTGGTTTCTAGATATCATTACCCACTAAAAGGAACTTGGACTTCTAGAAAGATGGCTAATTCTAGGGTTGGGGAAGGGAAAGTGTAAGATGATCCTGAAACACACTGTTGTGCCCAAAAGTTAAGGAAATACCAGCTTGAATGGGCATTTAATGGCCAAATCTGGAACATCTTGAGCATCAAAACGAATAATAATAACAAATTATAACCCTTTGAATAAAAATAGGAATCTCTGAACTCATACTGATATAAATAAATGAGTGGGAAAATGGGGATGAGGGAAAGCATTTTCTTTAGTAGAATTCTAGCTAAAGGATGTGGAAGGAATGACAGAATTTTAAAGCTCACGATTTGGCAACCATCAGAGTAATAAATAATTTAGCCAAGAAATAGCAATGGAAACTAGTGGATGAAAGGTCTATGAGGAATGGTTTATTAACATAGTCTTAAAGTATTTATTAGTTACAAAGAGAAAAAGAACCATTTTACAGGGGAGAATTTGGTAGACACCACCTTAATCAAGTGATCAAAGTTAACATCACCAAAAATGGGACAAATCAAAATTCTGTACAACCCAATAGGATGAAATGAGAACACAGCCTCACTTTGGTGCTATTCCTATCAGAAATGCATGACCCCCAACCTGAATCTAATCATGAGGAAACATGAGAGGCATTTATCAAGTAATTTGTCATCTTCAAAAAAGCCAGTCATATAGACCTGGTGTGGATACACACACACACACACACACACACACAATGGAATAGTATTCAGCCATAAAAAAAAAAGAATGGAATCTTGCCATTTACAACAGCATGGATGTAGCTAGAGAGTATTATGCTAAGTGAAATAGATTAGAGAGAGACAAATACCATATGATTTCACTCATATGTGGAATTTAAGAAACAAAACAAATGACCAAACAAAAAAAAAAAAGAAGAGAGAGAACCAAACCAAGAAACAGACTCTTAACTAAAGAGAACAAACTCATGGCTACCTGGGGGTGGGGGGGAGATGGGTGAAATAGTTGATGGGGATTAAGGAGTACACTTGTGTGATGAGCACCAATTCTACACATTTGTAGAATTGTTGAATCACTATATTGTACATCTGAAACTAATATAAAACTCTATGGAATTAAAAAGCTCAGTAAAAAAAAAAAAAAAAAAATGCCAGTCATGGAAGCTGAGGAGTCACTTGCATGACAGCCAAATGCAAACAGTTGATACTCAACTGGTCCTTTTCCAATAAAGGGCATTATTGGGACAACTGGTAAAACCTGACTGAGGATCTCGGGGGCGAAATGATGGTAATGCATCATTGTTTTCCTGAATTGGTGGTTATACTGTAGTTATGTTGGAGAATGTCCTTGCTTTTAGGAAAATCATACTAAGATTTCATAGGTAATGTAGACAATGTACTTTCAAATAAATAACTCAGAAGAAACAAGTTCTATGTATTATTCTTACAAGTCTTCTGTACGTTGAAAGTATTTCAGAATAAAATGCATGATATGGAAAGTACCACAGTAAAGAACTATAATATACAGAAAGCTATTTTAGTAATGCTGCCACTGAAAACATTTTATTTAAAGGTAGTCTTAAATTTTATTCTTCCATTTTTTGAGAATTAACTAGATGAAGTTAATGCTAAGCTATTTTACAGCTAGAATGTTTATTATTATCCAGGTAATGTGTTAAAATACTTTGTTTTGCTATTTAAGTTATTAAATTCTTTGGTCTATTTGGATTCAGTGTGTAGCCCACACAATATATAAAATAAGGTTCCCATTTTATTTTTAGGTTTTTTTTTTTAAGGAGTAGGGGACAGAGGGAGAGAGAGAGAATCTTAAGCAGACGCCACGTCCAGCACAGAGCCCAACACCGAGCTCGATCTCTCATGACCCTGAGATCATGACCCAAGCCACAATCAGGAGTCAAACAAACACTTAACTGACTGAGCCACCCAGGCGCCCCTAAAATAAGGTTCCCATTTTAAACACATGCTCACACACACTCACACACACACACACACACACTTCCCCTGATGCCCAAATCACATGGCTAGAAAGTGGGAGGATTCGAATTGGATGTCCCTTCTGTCTCCAGTTCCTCCCTCACATAACAGGGAGTGGGAGGTGGCTAGGATGGTGCCAACTGTGGGCAAACGGATGCAGCAAGGGCCCCACTAGGGGAAGGACCGCTGTGTGTAAGACTATTCAAGCAGAGAGCCTGAGATAATTCCAATGCAGAGAGCCATCCGTGGCCGTGAGATCCGCAGTCATTAGGGAGGAAAACATGACATAAGGGAAAGCTATCTTGCATTTTAGAAACCCTGCTCTGACATTTATTGGCTTATACTTTTCTACAGTTTTAAGGAATGAAAAAAATCAATCAACACAGAGTTTTTGTTTTGCTGGCTAATGTTGTTGTTTGCTGATTGATTTTGAAAAGCCTTTCAGCTATACATCCACTTTCGAGGTCAACCCAGGCCTCCCTCATCTTTTGTCCTACACCCTGTACCTTCGCCCTGAGGGTCAGCTGTCTGACCCCTGAAAGCATTGGCGTTTTCGAGTCCAGACTTACACTTTGGCCTGGGTAATTGTCAGATTAAATGAGCCTCTGTACATAAAGCTATGGGACCTACCAGCCCCTTCTTCTGCTTAGGTTTTGTAAGAAGTTGAAGATGTCGGTCCCGGGCTGGGCACCCACACCAGTTGGGAAGATGACTTGTCTTATGCTTTTGTCTTTCAGGAAAGCGGGTATGCCTTGGAGAACAGTTGGCCAAGTCTGAGCTGTTTATTTTCTTCACTTCCCTTGTGCAAAAATTTACCTTCAGGCCCCCCAACAATGAAAAGCTGAGCCTGAAGTTCAGAACAGGCCTCACCATCTCCCCAGTCAACCACCAACTCTGTGCAGTCCCTCGGTCGTGAAGTTGTCGGGAGGGAGAGGAGAAAGGAACACAAGAAGTGCCGTGTCCTCTGAAGGCACTGGTGCCTGCTCAGAAAGGAGGTGATGGAATGGAAAGTGACTCTGAGGGACGATCATAGGAACTGAACTCAGGAAGCATGATCCAAATCCCAGCCTTGCTAGCAGATCTTTTATGTTGTGAATGATTTACCTTTTCATCCACGAGATGAAAAGCAGATAATGATTCCTCCTCTGAAGGAAGAGCTGCTGTGAGAATCAGAGGGAATAATGGACTTTGAGTGGTTTGGGAAACCATACAGCTTATCACAAAAATTTTAGCTGAAATCGGCCTCTTTCCTGCTTGCTTCTTTAGACGGGGATTTGCTTCTAGCCTGTGGAGGTGGCTCAGGTCACAGTGGTGCCAAATGATTGATAAGAGTTAGAATTTGGACCCTGGGGCAGCCAGAGGCTGACCACAAATGCTCTCACACTTGGTGGCACTATGCAGGCTTTATCTTGCTCCCACCTTAGAATGGCCCTCTGGGAAGTCAGCCAAGCAGCTATCACTCCCTACTTGTATTCAGGTTTCTATGAGAAAGCAGTTTCTGTGGTTTACCTAACCTAAGGAAACACTACATTGGCTTGGAATCAGGACCAAGCAGAGTGTGACCACTACCAACTAAACGCAGGGAACAGGTTTGGGAAACAATGTGGAATTATGTTCTGTCCTTAAGGGTACCTCTTTGTCTTAATTCCTCTATCAGGCATCTCTTCTCAAGCTGTTCACATTGGATTTAACTATGGGGTGGATGTGAACTTTTCTTGCAAATAGATGGTCAGCTTTTGAATGGTTAAGTATTACCAGCCTAAATTCAACTGGGCCCTGGTGCAGTTATTTTATAGCAGGGAACCAGAAATGCCAGAATCCTGCCCAATCCTTCTGCATGTACTTGCTGAGGGGAGACAATGGCCAGAAAATTGAAGGCCAGGTAACACTGATGGTCCACAGAGTTTTGACGCCAACCCCAATGCAAACAAACACAAAAACGCCTGCTAAACTGGACTAAACCATATGGAAGATCTTTTTTCCTAAGGTAGAGACCTTGTATGCTTCTGCCTGCTCTTCTGAAACTCTGCTACCACCATTTAAACAGGCCCATGTAACCCCAATGGATGATGAGAAATACATGGCCTGGTCATTGCTGTTGCAACCCTAGCTGACATCTTGCTGACCACCAGAGCTGTTCTAAGACCATCTGAGATGAGCTGGACCCAAGCATATCCAGCAGCTGAATGCACACGCATGAATGATCCCAGCTGAGATGAGAATTGCCCACCTGAACCCAGCCTAAACTGCCAACCTTAGATTTATGAGTTAAATGGTTATTGTTTTAAGCCACTATGTTTTCAGATGCATTGTTACACAGAAATTGCTAACAACTAATACATTCCTTGAGGGCAGGAACAGTATCTTATTCAAGAACAATGCCTGGAACATGATAGGGCTCAAAAAAATAGTGAATTAGTAAATAAAATAAGGTAGAATAATTATGGGCTGGTGCTAGATTGGACCTATCACTCCAAATCAGATCTCTGCCACTACCCCTCTGTCCTTGTCACCTCATTCCAATGACCTATTTCTCAGTCCTCATGCCAATTTCTGTATAATCCTTCAGGAACACAGTGGAGGAATGCAAGCTTGTTCTTACCTCACTGTTTCATTTCGCAGGTGGCTGTTCCATTTCCCAGGTGGCTTTCTGGAATGGGGCCACCTATTCCTTTCCCCCATGCTTACTTCTCAAGAATAGGCTGATGTCCCTGGATGGGTATTTTGTACTATCTGTGTTTTTGTGCATTCACCATGAGCTATGTGTTCTGCTCTGAAAAGCTAAGAACTTTTCCCTCTGCTTTTGAAGCAGATAAGAAATTAAGCAAGAATAAAGGGTCAAATGCAAAGGGCCACTTTCAGGGGCTGGCATGGAGTCATTGATGATGCCGTTGCAACAGTCAGGGTCAGAACAGAGGCCTCTCTCAGTCCAAATATTTCAAAGGTCCAAAAATATCACAGAGCTCTGATGTACATAAAACAACATTAAAAGATTCAAGGAGGTGGAGGAGTGTAGCACAGAGAGTCAGATGAACTGGGGGCCAGGCCTGAATTCAGTTCCAGGTTTTACCATTTATTAACTTCCATCTGTGAATTAAACAGTCTACTTTACTTTCCTGAACTCATAAATGATACCTACTCTGGTAAATTAGGAAACTGATCAAAAGAGCCACTATCCCTCTCTGGGTCGCCTTTCTTTGTGGTACTCCTCCCGGTGGGACAATTATGTATAATTGCCCTGATACATCCAAGAATGGCCATGTCAGTTGCTCAATAAAATGAACAAAAGTTCCACAGATTCAACATGTTTCTTTTTCCTCTGCCATGAGACCAGTAATGTCCCAGATAAAGGTCTGTCAGCCTACAACCAGTTGACAAAGACATAAAGCCGAGTCACAGCTGATTCAAGATGGACATGCAATAAGACAAACCTATTTTTTTGTGAGCCACTAAGACTTTGGGATTGTTGATTATGCAGCATAAGTTATCCTAAACTGTCTGATACATCAGCATTTTAATTGAGAGGACCATATATATTTATGTTTGTAGTTACCGTGAACACCAAATATGCATATGTGTGTCTCTATATATACTATTATATATATACATAATATATATACTATATATAAAATGTTACTTTAACACATATTAAACATATAAATTTATATATCAGATATATTATATAATTATTACATGTTATATTAAACAAAGTCAGTGTTTGGCATATAATAGATTAAATTGTAGTTGTAATGCTGTTACAGTTATTTTAGACAAAAACTTTAGTTATTTCTACACCTTTTTTCTAGACAATTTGATCTTTTCCTCACTGGGTTCACAGAACAATATATTCTCCCTATTGATGACAGGATCATCATAAATCCTTTGATCGGCTGCTGTACTCTGAAATCCCAGTGTGCCATCATGGGTAGTCTAGGAGAATGGCACCCTCTGCATTTGGACTGTGCACGGCCATATGTGTGGGCCTGCTCCTTGGCCGGGTGTATGATAATTTTTGTGATCTGAAACTTGCTCACTTCATCAATTACATCTTTTAGTATTTCTGCCAAACTCATATCAATTCCCTACACAGACTAGGTCCTCTGTCATCTTCATGTTTTTAGATAAGCAATTTTTTTTCTGTTAAGAAGTATCTCATGACACATGGCAGACCCAGCCTAAATGTTAACTCTCCAATGACATTTTTCTTGACTCTCAGCTAGCTGGTTGCTCCCTTCTTCATTCTCTGAGGATTTTATTCAAAAGTTTTCATTTCCTTTATCCATGTAATCTCCCAGTTACACTGAGCTTTTTGGAGGCAGTTGTGCCTTGCTCACACAGGCTCAGTCCCTAACAGTTTTGGTGCAGAGTAGATGCTCAGTAAATGTTTGTTATAGGATGGGGGAGAGCAGCCGAGTGACTAAGGCAGAGCAAGGGCACTAAAGGTGAAGGGTGTCAGACATTTCCTGCTGCTATGTAGCAAGTTTCTGAGCTCTATGTGCCTTAACTTCGCATTCAAAGACTGTACGCTAAGGTCCCTTCTAGTTCCAGAAATCTGACCTGTGGAGGGATCTTCTGAAATGGCAAAGCAAGGACCTTCAAAAAGCCACTCCTCCATAAAAGCGCTAGGAAACTAACAAAAGTTGTCAAAATCCACATTTTCAGAACTCTGAAAGGTAACCAAAGTCCTGCAACAATCTGAGCATTTAAGGTGGAAAAAAAATAAAGGAGCTGGATCTCAGTAAGAACAGCAAGCTCTGTGGCATTTTAACTTACCCTATTTCCATTCTCTTCTCCCCAGCTCTGCAGTCTCCTTAAAAAGCAGCAGCCTCACAGCCGTGGGGCTGAGAAAACCAAGCACCGAGTAACCGCTGGAGGGAGTAGGACTGGTTTGGAGCGCCAGACAGCTGTCACTATTTGACCTGTCTGGCAGTTCCCTGAAAAGTCCCATTCTCAGGGCTTGTCTTTATTTGGCCTGACTCAAAGTTGAGTCTGTGTGAACTACACTGTACGGCATTTGTTGAAAAACATCGGTAACAATTGTGCAACACTGCAGTAACCAAGGTGGTGATACCAGTTGGTGCTCACAAGAGGATTAAAAGGGAAAACTGGGGAAGGAGATGTCCATGGGGGCTTCAAACAGCTCTAACATATTTCTGGGAATCTAAAAGGCCAGGCACATGTAAGGACTGTGTGCCTGGCCAGGAAGGACCTGAGAAGGCCCTAATCTCTCATTCTGACTGACCTTGAGGCTCTGCATAAGCAGGAAATTAAAGCTAAGACAGAGTTGTAAACTACCTGCTAGTGTGTCCAAGATGTAACCCAACTCATATGCAGAGCCCTGAGACATTTACTGCTTCAAGGCACTTAAGGAAACCTCTGTCCAAACATGACTAACGCAGTACGAACAGAGCAGAACATCCAGTGGCTGCACATGATGGGGAATAGAAATTTTACAGAATTCGTTCCAGAAAGTCACCAAACAAGAAGCAACAAAAACGACAACAGTAACAGACCTGGGTGGTTCCTGATTTCCAGAGTTTCCACATCATATCATTTAAAATGTCAAATTTTTAACAAACCAATTATGAACCAGGTAAAGAAATAGCAAACTATGGCTGACACACAGGATACAAAGCAAACAACAGAAATTCCCTGAGGACACCCAGACATTGGATTTATGATACAAAAACAGGATAAGCTATTTTTTAACAACTTTAAAGTATTAATAAATTCTAATTAATATTTACTTCAATTTAAGAGACTTTAATATGAGACATTTTTGCATATATTTATAGTGTATCACTTGTTTTTATATGTAAGTATGCATTTTGAAAAAAATCACTACAATCAAGCTACATAATTTATCCATCATCTCTATAGTTAACTTTGTGGGGGGGGAGGGTGGGCAGGGGGTTAAGATCTAGCCTCTTAGAAATTTCAAGTATGAAATGCAATATTGTTAACT